GATTCAGTTGGTCTAAGGTGTGGCTGAGCATGGAGGTTCCCAAATGCTCCCCCAGGGGATTCTGACTGCAGCCCAAGCTGAGAGCAATCCCCAGCCCCAGTCCTATTGTGTGAGGAGAGCTCAGCTGGAACTGGACTTTCCCAGCTGAAATCACCAGCCTGAAACCTAACACAGGCGCGGACTGGCAAGGTGGGAGGCCAGGTGTGTCCACACCCTAACGGCATTCCGAGCGAGGGCTGGGAGGAGCAATCAACGTGCCCTTTCGTCCCCCAGATCAGCCAGGAGACTGTCATTCCCCTGCTGGGGTGTTTGGCCTGAGAGTCCTTGGAGGGCTCCCAAGCTAGAGGCCTGAAGGCATATTTGGGGAGCTGTGGAGGGGATGCCCAGGGGACGGCTTCCAGGCACACACCCATATACACACCCGCACCCGCACCTGCACCCACACACACATGCAGAGCCTGACACTCGTGGCCCCTAAGACACCCGAGCCCCACAGATACCTAGGACCTTCCCGAACATCGCTGACACTCCCACGTGCCCAGACCGTACACCCCTCACATGCGTGCACGCACACAGGTAGCATCTTCAGTGATCTAAGACCAGAGGGAGGTGACGGTGAAACGAGGAGGAAGTTAGAGAAACAGCAGAGCAGGCTCACCAGTGCCACAGGGAAGCTGTCAGGGAAGATGCCCGTGGTGGGTGCTCACGGAGGACCGTGACCAGCCGCGGGAGCTCACTGCTGGGCTACGAGTTTCAGGTTTGAGCACGTGCAGGAGGACGAGGCCCCATCCATGACCTCCCACCAGCCTTATGATAAGCATTTTTTCTACCCCTTTAATTTCAGACATGAACAAGAAATGCAGTTATACCTTAGAAAACTCTCAAGGGCTAAGTGCATTCTTTTTGAAAAAAAAATTTTTTTTCTTTATTGATATTAGAGAAAGAGGAAGGGAGAGGGAGAGATAGAAACATCAACAAGAGAGAACATCGATTGGCCGCCTCCTGCATGCCCCCCACCTGAGGATCAGGCTCACAACCCAGGCATGTTTCCTGGCCGGGAATCGAACCGGCGACCTCTTGGTGCATGGGTCCATGCTCAACCACTGAGCCACCCTGTGCTCCCTTCCTGCTCTCTCAGCCTGGAGGGCTCCTGAGAGCAAACAACCACCCCACCGAGAGCTGAAAGTGATTGTCAAATGCTTCCCACTTCCCCCTTTTCCAGTGTCCTTCCTGGGGATGCAAGGTCTGGTCAGGTGAGAGCCCAGGTCCAAGAGGGCGTCCCATCCTCGGGAGCAGACACCTGGGAGAACTGTGGCCTTCTGGGCAAACGGGACAGTTCTATCAGGGGCAGTCACACAGTCCCTGCCGGAATCCAGCCACTTACTGGAAGCCAGTCTGGCCCTTCCTGCTTATCAGTTGGAAACCAGAAGACTTCAAACTGGAGAAAAAGATTAAGTTTCAAGAACGGCCACTCCTCCAAAGACAACAGAAGGACTCCGCTACTGATCCCACCCAGAGAGGGAGAAACTGCGAATTAAACCGCAGGGCGCACAGGGCGACGCAGAACACAGACGAGCTTTCCATGTACAGCCTCAGCCTCGGCGGCATGGACTCCGAAGGGCTGCCTCTTCGCCAGGGAAACGGCAGAACGACTTGATCATTTTTCTTTTCTTTGTTGATTTTTTTAGAGAGAAAGGAAGGGAGAGGGAGAGAGAGATAGAAACATTGATGAGAGAGAACCCCCTCCTGCATGCCCCCCACTGGGGATCGGGCCCACAACCGGGACCTGTGCCCTGCCTGGGAATCGAAGCGGTGACCTCTTGGTGCATGGGTCAGCTCTCAACCACTGAGCCACACCAGCCGGGCAACTAGATAATTCTAAAGGGTGAAGTGCCCCCACCTGTAATCTCTACAGTCCCTACAATATGCTGTTTTCCTGTACTTTTCCCCCCTGGTTTGTATTGGTTTGTAATGTTAGGTTTTCTTATTAAATGTCTCCACCCACCACCCTGCCCCCAATTCCACAGGGAGAGGGCGGCATCCCCTCTCCGCTGCTGTGTCTCAAGCTGGTGTGCAAGTACACAGGACGGACAGTCGAACGTCAGAGGACTCTATTTTTGAGCTTATTGCACCTTCTCAAAAGAGGGTCCACGCAAGGGCCTGTGATACAGCAACCACCCTCCTCATTTTCCGCTCAGTGGAAGTCCCAGGAGGAAGAATGGGGTTCAGCCCGTTGAGCAGTCAGGCGGGCCAGCCGGGCGCACAGGTCTTGCTCTGCATCTGGCTTGGTTGCCACCAGGCTGTTCCAGTGGCTCTCTCGATAGAAGAGGACAAAGTTCTCTCTCTGTACCAGGGCAGTTCCAAATGGGTAGCCTTGCTCGATGTGGTTTTGCAATGGAAGCGCTTAAGAAAACCACCAGGTGGTTCCTCAAACAGTTAAACTGGCTCTGGCCAGTTTGGCTCAGCGACTGGAGCGTCAGCCCGTGGACCAGAGTCCTGGGTTTGGTTCCCGCTAAGGGCATGTACCTCGGTTGCAGTTTGTCCCCGGCCCGGGGTCGTGAGGGAGGCAGCCACGTGATGTGTCTCTCTCACATGGATGTTTCTCTCTCTCTCTTTCTCTTCTTCCTTCTCTCCCTCCTGCTCTATCTGAAGATAAATGCAAAAATGTCCTCGGGTAAGGATAAAAAAAAAAAAAATTAAACTGAATTATCATATGACTCAGCAATTCCACACCCAAGAGAATGAAAACATACATCCACACAAACCCTGTAAACCAACTGTCACCGCAGCATTATTTGTTAAAGCTAAAAGGTGGACATGACCCAAGTATCCATCAGTGGATGAAAGCATAAACAAAATGTAGAATAAACATACAATGGAATATTATTCCACCACTAAAAGGAACAAAGCACAGGCCCAGCCAGGCTGCTGTGGCTCAGTTGGTTGGGCGTTGACGATGCACTGAAAGGTTGCCTGTTCGATTCCTGGTCAGGGCACATGCCTGGGTTTCAGGCTCAATCCCCAGTAGGGGGCGTGCAGGAGGCAGCCGATCAATGTTCCACTCTCACATTGATGTTTTTCTCCTTCTCCCTTCCTCTCTCTAAAAATCAGTAAAAATTATTTTTTTTAAAAGGAACAAAGCAATGATCCCTACTACGTGAATGAACCTCAAAAACATGATGTTAAATGAAAGAGGCCAGACACAACAGGTCACATATTATCATTCCGTTTATATGAAATATACGGAATAAGCAAATCCAAAGAAACAGAGGCATACAGGTGGCTGCCAGGTGATGAAAGTCTTTTGGAACTTGATATAGGTGATGGTTGATTTAGGTGAGTGTACTAAGTGTCGTTGAATTACACACTTGAATGTTAGGTAAATTTTAGCTTATAAAAAAGCCACCAGAAATGTTGGCAGGGCAGTGCCGAGCCCACTGCTCCCCCTTGCCAGGCAGGGCTGGGTTTGGTACCCAGGTTGTACGACACCTTCAATACAGCCAGGGTCCATCAGTGAAAAAGAACATGAAAACCACTGTATGATGGGCCACACGTTGTCAGATGTTGCCCTTGGCACTCTCTGCACTGTGACCCCCACACATACACAACTACATAACCACAGGTTTCAAAACTCTATGCGCTGTAACAATGCGTGGTGTTGATTTTGCCCATTTGGGAAACTGGGTACAAGATCACATGAGGAACTGCAGGGCTAAGGTCTCTAAAAGGTACTTAAATGTGTGGTTTGCTGAGACAATGGAATGTTGTTCAGCACTAAAAAGAAGTGAGGAGAAGACTTAAACGTATGACTTAAGTGAAAGAAGCCAGGCTGAGAAGGCTACAAACCCTGATTGCGACCGGATGACATTCTGGATGAGGCACAACTGTGGAGACAGTAAACAGATCAGTGGTTGCCAGGGGTTTGGGGGAGGGAGGGAGGATAAATAGGTGGAGCACAGAGGACTTTTAGGGCAGCAAAACAACTCTGTTCGATTCCATAATGATGGACATGGCATTATACGTTTGTCCAAACCCACTGCAGACACACCAGAGTGAGCTGTAATGCAAATTACTGACTTGGGGCGATGATGGATCAGTGGTACAGAATGTGCCACTCTGGAGGGGACGTTGATAATGGGGGAGCCTGGGCATGTGTGGGGTATATGGGAACTCTGTTCTTTCTTCTTAATTTTGCCGTAAACCTAAAACTGCTCCAAAAAGTTTACTTTTAGGGGGAAAAGTTACTTAAACGTGTGAAAATTTTCTTAATACTACAGAAAACAGTCACAAAACAGTTAAGTAAATGCACTAGACTGTATACTTGGCCATGAAGTGTTTTTTGTTTTTTTTTTAATCCATCTGAGCCTCAGAATCATGTTTCTTTAAAATTCTTGGACTAAAACTCCCTTCTCTTTCATCGCCCTTACTGGGTCTCTCTCGGTTCACTCATGCCCTATGTAAAACAGGCGACTCATTGTGAACATCTGAGTCATAAATGCAGGAGATAACTTTAATAGGCTTCAAAATGCAAATCAGAATTTTGTACGTAAAAGTCCAAGGTCTCCGCTTACACCTGAGATCTTTGAGCCCAGAAAGTCAGAGGAGTTTTAACATCCCAAACACATGAGGCCGTCACTGGGGAGAAAACGGAGGCCAAACTGTGTGCGTATATGAAGCCACATTTCTAGTTCAGTGCCTGTTAGAAGGGTTCTCAATAGCCACTGAGAAGCCAGCTGTCCCAGAAAAAACATTTTCACGGGCAGTGCTGTGGTCAGCAAGGGATCGGCCATGTGCTTCAAGTTGGCTTAGCTACATGCAATTACTGAGAAGGTTTTGTTAACAAGACATAAACCAGTATGTACAACGTTACCTCATCTAGACGGACTAACAGTGTATGAAGAAGTACAACCATTTGAGGTTTAGGAATTGGTGAAATCCTTCTTTGCGGTCCAAACAGATATAAAGTATTTTCATTAATTGAATGTGATTCAGTGTTTGCAAAAAACTTCCTCCCAAATCCCCAATAGTGGTAGAACAAAAGCCTTTAATTTGTACAAATATGGGTAAGCCTGTACTGTGAACAATAAAATGGGAAGTCCAATAAATGCTCAGGTGAGCCCTGGTTCAAGGGAGGGTCTCCAGGCCTGCCATTATTTTAAAAGTCCCACAGTATATTTTATGGTCCCTGAAACAGAGCTCTTGTTTGACAACTTTGCATATGTGATTAATAACAGCTTGGGAACATTTACATACCACCATCGGAACAAAACTGCTAAATATGCATGGCCTTCCATTTTGTCCAGTGAAAGAAACACGTATGAACAAAACTGAGTGAGGAGCAATTTTTCAAGACCATATGATCGGAGTTTAAATGACAATGTAAGCCACGCCAAGATGACATTATTTTCCTGCTCTTTCCAAAACGAAGCTTTGTCACCAGGTAGGAAAGGGGAGGATGACATTCATGTTCCTGGCAATTCACAATGCTCTCCTTTGAGCATCTCACAACCACCCTGATCAATTAACAAAGCATGTTTTGTTCAGAGAATGAATAGGGACAGCTTTCTTCTGTGCATTTTATTAAAACTTGAAAGCTATGGCTGGCTGCCATCGATGACGCCTATTGAGTTCCAATAACCTAATGTTCAAATCTGACTCCCTAGCCATCCACCCAGCTCAACATCAGTCATCCTGACATTGCAGGACATTCAGTAAGTCTGAAGTTTTGATCAGGAAGGATTTTCTACTATTATGGAGCAAATAAGGGTTCTTTGTAACAACGGCTAGAAACACCAGACCTTTCTTCACACTGTAAGAATTGGTAAATAGATCACCAAATGAACAAAAGACTTTATTTTTTAAAAGCAGATAAACACCAAAGTACGATGTCGTCTCTCCATATTCATTGTAAAAATAATTACTGAAACTTTCAGAACATCAAATGAATAAGCTGAATCAATGGCTACAACTCTAATGTTCAGCCAATATACAGATTTTCGTTCAAGGTCTAAGCTTGATTTCTACATAATATTATTCACATGCATTCCTTGTGCCTATTTATTATCAAAATAGGGACTCCTGGAAGTCAAGTCTGGCTTTCTCTTGATTTCAAAGATGACACAGCAGCGGCCCGAGGACGCTGGCTTGCTGCTGGAGTCCTAGAAATCATGTCTCCCAATGTTACACAACAAATTATATTTCCGAAAAATAAAATCAGACTTTAGATTCCTTTCGACAGTTCAGGTCTCCAAGCGTTTCAGCACCGTGGTACCTGGACGCGCTCACACGTGCTTCTGTCTCTCCAAACGCACCACCAGGAACCCAGAAGGGCCCGCTTTCGAAGTTCCATTACAGAGGTTTTCAGAAGCACACTAAACCCAAGCAAAGGCAGTGGGCGCATTCATCCGTTACTTTTTCAATTAAAGAAAAAAATATATACGCATGCCCTGGCAAATGGGAAAATGATACCAATTATACGGTTATGGAAAATGGTTCTATAAATCCCTTCTTTCAAAATTAGGTTGAAAGGTGTTTAAGATCAAAAAAGGTCATAAAAACTGTTAATACAAATCACTTCTCCACAAGAAAAAGCCCTTCGTGAAAATGGCTGAGGACCTGCAGAAAGAACGGGGGGGAAGGCAGATCGACGGGAGACCCCGCTCCACATTTCCAGCAAGCATTTATGACCCCATGGGTCTGGGTCTGGGAGCTGGGAAGAGTCCCTGCCTAACTAAGAAATAAAGTGAATTTTTGTGCTAGTGAAAAGCCTGCAATTACAGAATCTGAGAGCCAAGGCCTTAAGGCAAGATTTCTGTCATCAGACATGAGAACAGATGGACACGACGGCAGCACTAACGACTGGCTTAGTCGTATTCAGGCCAGAACAGTCTCGAGAATAAGGCAACCTGTGGCTTCTCAGCTGGAGCCCACCACCGGAAAGGCCCACTGAGGCAAGGAAAGAAGCTGGCAAGGCAAATCTCCAGAAGATATTCAGACAGGGCAGCGATCACAGTTAGATGGAATGGCTGGGTCGCAGGCAGGCGGGACCCGTGGACCCTGTGACCCGCACTCAAGGTGAATGTCTTTGCAAGTCCTGTGCACGACTCCAAGCAGCAGTTTCTGGGGTTTGGATGTGTGTTACTCTTGCGATATTTTCCCCCCAAAAGAAGACACAAAGGTGGAATCCCTGGAGGGATGAGACCACTCGGGTGGAACCTCCACCGGGGGTGGAGCTGGCGAGAGTCGGAAAGGACTTCCTGGCACACGTGGCTCCCTCCAGGTCTGGTCGAGTCCTACAAACGCTTGTAGGTGCCCAGGAGAGCTTTGCAATTGGGACAGTAATGGTCCACGTCCTGCAGGGCGTCCACACAGAAGGGGATGAAGCAGCAGCCCGCTATGCATCTGGAAGAACAAAACAGCCACAGGCACAGCATGTTAGCGACTGGAGTAGTTTGCATGGTGGCCGCCAAAAAGATGCATCAGGTGTCCTAATCACCGCCCACCCCCACCCCCGGAACCTGTGAATTGGAGCAAGGGTCTTTGCAGGTAGAATTAAAGATCACAAGATGGGGTCATGCTGGATTATCCAGGTGGGCTCCCTGAACCCAGTGACTGGTCTCTTTGTAAGAAGAGAGGACACACAGGAGGGCAGAGGCCCCGTGAAGACAGAGGCAATGACACGGCCCAGGAACACCTGAACTACCAGAAGCTGGGGGAGCAGAAAGGATTCTCCCTCAGAGCCTCCAGAGGGAGGATGGCACTTTGATTTTGGACTTTGAGCCTCCAGAACTGTGAGAGAATAAATTCCTGTTGTTCTTAACCAACAGCTTTGTGGTCATTTGTTATGGCAACTCTAGGAAACTGATACGCCAACCAGTGCCAAGGCTGCTCCCACAGATGGACTGTACCGAGCGTCCTTTCAAATCCTCGGTTCTCTGGGCACCTTTCAGAGTCTTAGACTGAGGCCGGAGGACTTCTTTGTAAAGGGTCACTGCAGAGTAAAGCAGTCACAGGTAATCCATCTACCTGTTCAGTAGAACTTACAACGGGCTGGGTTTGGCCCTTGGGCCGTACTTTGCTGACCTGTGTCTCAGACTGATCACCTTTCCATATGGAGAGGCTGCTGCTTACAGCAACAACCACATGAAGTTCCCCAAAATAATGTCTCTTAACCTACGTAATCAGCAAACACAGACGGGACCTTCGTGAGGCCTGTGGCATCAGAAGAAACAGCCAGCTGTGCGAGAGGCAAGGGCTGCTGAAAAGAAACGCGGACCCCACCTCTCCGCAGAAGGAAACAGCCCGGTGGTTTCGCGTGACCCCCACGGCCAGGAATAGGGTGACTGCCTTCATCTGTTGGGGGTGGGGGTTAAATTGTGTTTCTTCACATTTCTGCCAGAACAAAACCTATTGTCTCTTTCAGTAAAATACCCTTGGTGCAGACGTGAATATTTACACAGTCTCCTTGTGGAGGCAACGGGAAAAATACTTGGGCTCATAAAAGGGTAAGGAGTTTTGAAGAGATGACTATCGAGTATTTTAATGTACAGACTGTTTAAAGCTTTCTCGGAGTCAGGCAAACATGATTACTTAGGTCACAAAATTGTAGAAGAAAAAGAAGTCCCTAGGGCATCACCCTACACAGACGCAAGCAGCTGCTATGCTGGTCCCTACACGCAGGGAGTGTCTGAGCCGACGAGCGGGAGAAATGGTGGGACAGCGGCCTCCAGGCGTTGATGTGCTCAAGAGCAGAGTTCTCAACACGGGACGATTTCTGTTCCTATGATGGGAGCAGGCGCTGCTGGCGCAGAGTGGGTAGAGGCCAGGGATGCTGCTCCACATCCTACACTCACCGGACGGCAGCCCACAAGATAGAGTATGTGCTACAGTTGAGAAATCCTGCGAGAGAGGAATGTGGGAGAGCCCGGGGGTCCAAGTGCACCCCAGACTTACCCGAGCAGGCACAGGCTCCCACAGGAGAGCCAGGTGAGGGCACCGGCATTATAGGACAGCTGGGTCACAATCATCTTGTTGCAGGAAGGGCAACACATCTGGATTGGACGGTCGAAAAAGGACACTGGCTGCTGCACGTAGACCGTCTGCACAGCAACTGATGGAGGAGAGAGGACAGAGCTTGATCAGTGAATGAGGAAAACGCTGGTTAGATGACAACAAGGTAGAGGCAGGGTCTTGACAGTTATTTGCACACCCATGTTCACAGCAGCACTAGTCACAAGAGCTGAATGTCCATTGATGGATCAACGGATAAGCAAAATGTGGTCCATCCAGACAATGGAATACTATTCGGCCTCGAAAAGGAATGCAGTTCTGATCCAGGCAATGGTGTGGGTGAACCCTGAGGACGTTATGCTGGGTGAAATGAGCCAGACACCAAAGGAAAATACTGTGTGATTGTCTGGGAGGCACCTAGAGTCGTCCGATTCAGAGGCAGAAAATAGATGGTGGTTGTCAGGGGGTGGGGGGAATTGTTTAATGGAGACAGAGTTTCAGTTTTGCAAGATGAAAAAGTTCTGAGAAAGGGTGCCAGGTTGGTCACATGGCAATGTGAATGTACTTAATGCCACTGAACTTACACTTGGAAATGCTTAAGAGGATATATTTTATGTTGTATATACTTCACCACAATTTAAAAACAGGTGGGGCGGGCCTGGGGCTGCAGAAATCTGGGGCAACCACCATCAAGAAACCCCATCAGCCCGGCCGGTTGGCTCAGTGGTTGAGCATCGACCCATGCACCACAAGGTCGCTGGTTCGATTCCTGGTCAGGGCACATGCCCAGGTTGTGGGCCTGATCCCCAGTGGGGGCATGCAGGAGGCGGCCAATCGATGTTCTCTCTCATCAATGTTTCTATCTCCCTCTCCCTCTCTCTGAAAAAAAAATCAATAAAGAAAAAAAATTTAAGAAAAAGAAGCCCCATCAGGGGCTGGAACTCCTTTGCCGGCGTGGATTAGAGTTGGGACTCCACAACTAGAACAGTTGCAGTTTTATTTTGCTTTTTTATGGCCTTTTCCCCCTGAAATGATTTGTAGTTGTGTGTGTAGCACTTAGCCCTGATACATATGCTGCAATAAAAACCAAATCGAACATAAAAAAGAGGGGGGCTGACAAAAAAGGGGAAAGAGGCAACAGTGGCAGATTTCCAGAATTATCATGTCAAGGGCTCTCTCAGGACTGTTCCTACAGGAGGGACGTGGCTCCGCTGGGCCAGGCTTTCAAACTCGCTGTCCCTGGAGTCGGGTGGGGAGCTCGCCGGGAACAGACTCCCAGGCACCACCCTGCAGTCCAACGCGGCAGATCGCGGCAGGGTCCCCAAGCTGTGCTTTAAGTTCCCTGCGTGACTCTATGAAGGTGGTCTGCAGGTGGTCATTTCAGAGACCCCCTTTTCTTTACCCGTGGATGAGTGAGGCCGGAGGCCAGGGGGGCGGGGATGGGGAAAGACTACTATTGAGTACGGGATCCCTTTCTAGGGTGATGGGAAAGTCCTGGAATTAGTTCTGGTGGTTGCGCAACTCTGGGAACAGACTAGAACCACTGAACTGTACACCTGAAAAGACTGAACTTTATGGTCTGGGAATTACATTTCAATGAAGCTGTTATTTAATAAATGGATGTAAAAGAGTTGTTGTTAGGATTAAATAAGATAATGCTGGTAGCCCTGGCCAGTGTGGTTTAGTGGTTAGAGCATCGGCCAGCACCCCCAAAGGGTCATGGGTACAATTCCCAGTCAAAGGCACCTACCTGGGTTGCAGGTTCGATCCCTGGCCCCAGTAGGGGCGTTGGAAACAACCAATAGAAGTTGCTCTCTCTCTCTCTCACCTCCCTTCCTCCCTCCCTCTCTCTGAAAAATCAATGGAAAAAATATCCTTAGGTGAGGATTAAAAGATAAATAAATAAGATAAGATAATGCTGGTAAAGAAAGAACCTCACACATGCCTGGGACAGACTGGCCCCTCGGCAAACCAATTCCCCCCTTTCACAAAAACAGGCTCCAATGGCCGGCGAACAGGCTGGAGTTCACTGAGCAGGGACACTGGTCCAGTTCTTCACAAGCCGGGGAACCGTGCAGATACATGCAATGAGCATAGGAAATCATGCTAACGAGAGAAAACTATGTGGCAAACATGTACAGACATTCACCATCATCAGAAGAGAATCTAGATTCATGTCAATCCCAAAGCCCTTAAGAGTTTTACACGTTCTTCTGGTATTTGGCAAAGTTGTCGAAGCTCATATTTCTGTCAAATTAACTTCCTTTGGTTCTTTTTTTAGGCTGTTGGAATGCCGGTGCTGTAATCTGTGTGAGAGGAAATGAATGACTGCCCAAAACTCCTGGACAGGCCTACAAAGATGCTCCTCCCAGGAAAGAACATTGAAGCATACTTCAGCACCTGTGTGCCAATTTTATTAAGATGGGGGGGGGGGGGGGGCCGCAAGAATGACTTGTTTATTGAGCAGAGTGATTTTAGTCAAAAGTTATCCTCTCCCTAAAATATATGAACAAACAAAATGGCAATGAATACATATCTATCAACAATGGAATCTACAAACAAAATGAACAGGCAGAACAGAAACATTCTCATAGATACAGAAAACATTTTGTTGGTTGCCAGATGGGAGGGGGGGGAATGGGTGAAAAAGGTGAAGGGATTAAGAAGTACAAATTCATTGCTAGACTGACAAACCTCAAAGGGAAAGGGGGTGGGGGGTGGGAAGAAATAAATCAAAGAACTTACATGCATAACCAATGGACACAGACAATAGTGTGGGAAAAGGCGGGAGGGGGGAGGAGGGGGTCAATGGGGGAAAAATGTGGAACATCTGTAATACATTCTACATTCAACAATAAAGATTTAAAAAAAAAGTTATCCTCTCCCTTCTGAAGGGGGTCAAAGTTACTTGAGCATTTGTATCAAATGACTACTCATAAACTACATTTCTTTTTTTTTTTAATCCTCACCCGAGGACATGTTTCCATTTTTTGTTCAGATAGAGTGGGAGGGAGAGAGAGAGAGAGAGAGAAACATCGACATGAAAGGGACATATCAAGTGGTTGCCACCTGCACAACCCAACCAGGGCTGGGGACAAACTGCAACTGAGGTACATGCCCTCAGCGGGAACCGAACCCGGGTTATCTCTGGACCGCAGGGCGACGCTCTAACTGCTGAGCCAAACCGGCCAGGGCTACATTTCATTTTAAGAACTCACTGGTGTAGGTACCTGATAAGCCCTAACTTACAGATGGGAAAACTGAGGCACAAGGGGGTTAGGTGAAGCCAGACAGACTCACGGGAACTACTCTCTGACCTGGCACAATCCTCCTGAGCTGCTTGTGATACTGAATCACTTGGTACCTGGGTGGCAGGAAGGACCCAAGAGCAAGGCCATGAAGAAGTTGCTGGAGGAGTGACGAAGATATGTGAGAGGGACTTGACCTGCTGCTGTGGCTTTAAAGACAGAGGCACCCTGGCCCATTTGCTCCGTGGTTAGAGCGTCGGCCTGTGGACCAGAGAGTCCTGGGTCCGGTTCCCACTAAGGACATGTACCTCGGTTACAATTTGGCCCCGGTTGGGGTTTTGTGCGTGGCAGCCACTCAATGTCTCTCTCTCTCTCTCTCCCTCCTGCTCTATCTGAAGATAAATGCCAAAATGTCCTTGGTGAGGATAAAATAAATAAATAAAGACAGAGGAGAGGGGGCCATGAGCCAAGAAGCTGGAAAAGGCCAGGAAATGGATTCTTCCCTAGAGCTGCAAGAAAGGAAGACCTTGCTGTTGACCTAGTGAGACCTGTCAGACTTCTAACCTAGTGCATGGGATAACAAAAGAAGAAAGAATAAGAGGAAGACAGGAAGAAAAGAAAGCAAAAAGGAAGAAGGTATAGGAATGCCACATCTGTGGATGTTTTGAAGTTTCCAAACTGTGATCAACAGGCCACCTTACTGCTTGTTCCCAACTCAAGCATTTAATAGCAAAACCCGATAAAGTCTGGGAAGCTGGAGACCACCTACCGTCACCTTAGACTCCTTTTCCTTCATCTCTAGAAGGATGGACACTTGGGGTGAAATCCAGTCTCCATTTTGGTCCTTCAAGGACCGCTATCAAAACAAATGTGTCAAGAAACACTGGCTTCCAGGAGAAAGGGATTTAAAACCGGAACAGTATGTAGCCATAGGAACCAGCGTTAGCTAATTCCGGCAGAAAGAGGAGTTATTACTAGGAAATGCAGATGGGCTTATGTGAAAAGATGATAAACCCCTCCCTCCCTCATTATAAGATATATGAAATTTAAAACTGTACTAAGATAGGATCTTTTGCAAAATTTCAGAAGTTGGACAGAATACTCTGTTGGCAAAGGCTTTGTAGAAATAGGCACTTTCAGACGCTGCTGAGAGGGGTGTAAAACAATCAACCTCTATGGAGGGCAAATTGGCACCAAAATTATAAATGCACTGATCCTTTGACCCAGCAATCCCATTTCTGGGAATTTCTTCTACAGGCATCTACATACTTACAAAACAACATACGCAGTGCTGTTTACAAGCAAAAAACTGGGAACAAGCCACATAAACATGAACAGATACTGGTTAAAATAAACTGTGGTACATCCACTCAGTGGGAAGCTACGCCACTGTAAAAGAGAAGGAGAAAGCGGTCTGGGTACTCATACGGATATTCTGTTACATGAGAAAAAAACAAGGTGCAAAATAAATGAGCGTGCACACATAGCGCGTACACAGCCTGCTACCATTTCTGCAAGAAAGGAAGAGGTAAGAATAACTATTTGTATTATGTCTGCAAAAAGAAATGCCAGAAGGGTACATAAACTTTAAGAGCCGTTGGCCTAAAAGTTGTAAGGGGAAGTGGGGTGCAATGGGAAGGGAGTAAAATTGCTTACACACCTGACTGTACTGCTTTGAATTCAGGACAATGTGAATGAACTGAGAACATTAAATAAAAAGATGCTGTCATTTCCTAGAGGGCCTGGATAACCAGGCTTGGAGGCACTCACTGGAAACTTTAGACCAAATCACTCTGCCAGTTCGTTGAATAAGCCGCGCACAGTCATTCTGAGACGGCAGCAGTGGTGGCCAAAGTGACAGCCAGTTTCCAGAGGCCTAGAGGCCATGGTTCCAGCGGCAGCTGCCTGTGTCCAGCATTCAGTGTCGGGAATTTGAGTAGAACACGCCACGTGTCTGAGTCCACACTGGTGTCTTCGCTGTGCTACACAAATGAACGCCGGTGTGCCAAGTCCTGATCGCCCCAGCATTTAGTATTACAGGTGACAACGGGGCTGGAGCCCAAGCTTGCTGTCTGTAGCAGCAAACAGCCTCAGCCGTTTACCCCACTGTGCGCTACACTGGGTACACCCGTTTACATGTGCTTTCTTTTGAAGACGTTTGGAAAGAAGCGGATTAGAGAACAAGCTTTAAAAGAAAGCCTCCCTGCCCTGGCCAGTTTGGCTCAGCGGTTAGAGCGTCGGCCTGCGGTCCCGAGAGACCCGGGTTCGGTTCCCGCTAAGGGCATGTACCTCGGTTGCAGTTTGTCCCCGGCCCTGGTCGGTCGTGCAGGTGGCAGCCACTCGATGTGTCCCTTTCACGTCGATGTTTCTCTCTCTCTCCTCTCTCCCCCTCCCACTCTACCTGAACAAAAAAATGGAAAAATGTCCTCAGGTGAGGATAAAATAAAAGAAAGCCTCCCTGACCCCACATTCTGACAGGTGTGGAGTGACATTTCATTGTGGTTTAAATTTGCATTTCTCTGATGATTAGAGGTTTTGAGCATCTTTTCATGTCTGTTGGCCATCTGTATGTCCTTTTTGGAGAAATGTCTATTCAGGTCATCTGCTCATTTCTTAATTGGATTGTTTGTCTTTCTGGTGTTAAGGCGTATGAGTTCTTTATATATTTTGGATATTAAACCCTTATCAGATTTTTTTTTTTTAAGTTGCTGGGCCCTGGCCAGTTTGGCTCAGCGGTTAGAACATCAGCCTACGGTCCAGAGGGACCTGGGTTCGGTTCCCGTTAAGGGCATGTACCTCGGTTGCAGTTTGTCCCGGCCCTGACTGGGTCATGCAGGTGGCAGCCACTCAAGGTGTCCCTTTCACGTCGATGTTTTTTCTCTCTCTCTCTTCTTCTCTCTCCCTCCCACTCTATCTGAACAAAAAAGTGGAAAAATGTTCTCGGGTGAGGATAAAAAATAAAAATAAAAAGTTGTTGGAAGGCAAGGAGCAACCTTTGCAGATGGTACGCTGGAGGGCTGGGGCAGGTTTCAGCTCACCATTCCTCACTCGTGGCTGCTTCTGCTCCCTCTCCTACTCCAGCCCTGAACTTGGGGTTTCTATCAACCCTCAGCAAGAAGGGTGGGGCCCTGAAAAGCAAACAGTCATTGCCAAATTTTCCTGGCATCATTGGCTGTGCCTCTGTAAAAGTGCCAAAGGATCGCTTTACGGCGGACTTGCGAAAGCTCATAAACTGAACTTTATTAGGGAAAAGCCGTGAGCCTCACCGATGCAGAACCTGAAAGACTACATGTACCGTTTCATACACATGAAAATTGGACTGACTGGCACTTCGCTCAGCCTCAGAGGCACTTGGGTTGCTCTCCTGATTGTCACGGAGCCCCCAAGGCCAGGACGGTAAGGGGAGCCAGGGAGGCCGCAGGCTGCACATACTTGCATTGGCGTTGGGGACGGGCACTGGCTGGGTGTAGTACGCAGGAGGGTTCATGCCCTTCCCATCAGGGCCATGCACAAGCCCCGTGGTTGGCCCAGGCACAGGTGCAGGAGGTGTGGGGAAGTAACTGTTAGTGGCCACCGTCTCTTCATAGGATGGGGGTGCAGTGGGCACCGAAGGCCCAGCAGCCGCCTGGTACAATCCTGGAGCAGACATTTCACCTAAAGCAAAACCAGAAGATAGCAGATGAGCAATTCAATTGACATCTCTCTCTCTTCTCCACCCTCATTCATTTTCCACCTGACCAAAAGGAAATGACTCATGTCCAGCCTTGCCCAAAAGCCAGAAAGGGAGTCCATGTCCCTTCGAGACCCAAGAATTATCACCTTAAGAAGGATTCCCTAAATAAAGATAAAAGGTAAATAATGACAACCGAAAATCACCCAAACCTAGAAAATCCCAAGGGCAAAGATCCACCGAACTTGAGCTGCAGTTTCTTCACACTTCAAACCACCAACCACAACAACCCATCTTTCACATCTAGTGTTTTTTCTTCTTTTCTAACTGCTGTGGTTTTTTACGAATCAAGTTTCAGGTGCCAGAAAAGACAAAGGCATTAACACCAACCGCAGGCGACTGGGAACAGAGTGCTGCACAAAGGCCGACGCCAAGAAGGCAGCGCTGCCCTGCACGTCGGGCCGGAAATGGGCACAGAGAATCACGAGGCCAGGGGTTAGAGTGGTGACTCTGGGAGGCGGAGAAGAGTCTGGAAGGAGTGGGAGGAAGGCCTACTTTTGGGGATGGGGGCTGGTCTCGTTCTCTTTCATCTGGGGGCTGGTTCCATGGGTACATTAACTTTGCAAAAAGTGAGGTGTACCATTATGTGCACTTTTCTGTATGTATGTTACAGTTTTTAAAAAGTAAACACACACCCCAGTTCCCATTTTGAAAAATGCGTATCAGGGCAGCCAGGCGCCGATTTCCTTTTGTGAGGGCGAAGAAAGGGTTTTTTCTCGCAGAGTCCATGCCCGCCTAGAATTACACGGCCTGTGCCCGGGGTGTGTTCCTGTCCGAAGGCCCGTGCTCACAGCCCCAAGGCAGCGGCAGAGCGGGACACAGCGCCGTCCTTTGTGTGGCTGTTTCCAACCGGACAGGGCCAGGGCTGCTATTAGATGCACTCAGACCTGTCTCAGGAGACATGGGGATCTGAGCTCCCGGGGCAGCAAGCCTCAGTCCGGGGCTGCAGCGGGCCCGCGGCCCCTTCCCACACATTCTGCTTCATCTTCTAGGACCCGTGGGAGGCAGAGGTAGTGATTAGTTCTGCTACAGAGAGAAGGGGAGAAGACTTTAAGTTCTGCCATTAAGCCGAACGCGAAAAGAGACTTCTCTGGGGAGGGGAAGAGAGGACATGTATTTCCACGTGGACAGAGGGGCATGGGAAAGTGAGCGTATGCAAAACCAAGGCGATACCTAAAGCTAGATAGGTTGGGGCTGGGTTTTAGAAAGTTTTGAAAGTCCTTTCGGGGTGTTTGGACTTTACAAGACTGCTGTCCAGTGGAACTTTTTGGAAGGATGAATTGTTCTCCATTTGGGCTGTCTAATATGGTCACCACCAGCCTCACAAGCTGTTGAACACCTGAAATGTGGCTAGTGTGACTGAGGAACTCAATTTTTTTTTTAATCCTCACCCGAGGATATTTTTCCATTTATCTTCAGATAGAATGAGGGAGAGGGAGAGAGAAACAAGGATGTGAGAGGGACACATCAATTGGCTGCCTCCCACACAACCCTGACTAGGGCCAGGGACCGAACCATAACCGAGGTACATGCCCTTGACCAGAATAAAAAACGAGATTCTTTGGTCTTTGGGCCGATGTGCTAACCACTGAGCCAAACCAGCCAGGGGTAGGAACTCAATATTTTAATTATATTTAAGTTTAAGCAATTTAAGTTTAAAACAAAATATGGAATTCATTTATTGGAAAACTTTTGTGTATGTCTGGGACACCCCGGGTACGTGAATCTACATTTGCAACAGCAAATTTAATAGACTCTGAATCCAGATCAAATGTTTTTGACAAAATTTTAGCATCCAATTCGGGATGTGTCGATGTAAAATGCACCCTGGATTTAAAAAACTTTCAAAAACGTGACTGTGGAATGTCTCACTCATAATTTTTTACTACTGACTATATGTTGAAATGACACTCTTTAGATATATGGAGCTAAGTAAAACATGTTAAAATTCATTTCACTCATTTCTTTTTTTTTCCCTAAGTGTGTTTTTATTTATTATTATTATTTTTAGAGAAAGAGGAAGGGGGAGAGAGATAGAATAAACGATGTGAGAAACATAGATCGGCTGCTCCCCACAGCCCCCCCCCCCCCCCCCCCGGAGATCAAACCCAAAACCCGGGCACATGCCCTGACCGGGAATCAAACTGGGACCTCTCAGTTCATGAGACAATGCTCAATCCATTGAGCCACCCTGGCTGGGCTTCACCTACTTCTTTTAAACTTTTTAAAATGTGGCTACGAAATTTAAAATTACCTACGTGGCCCATTTCCTGGTTCTACAGAATACCAACGCTATGAAGCAACGGGAGCCATGGAAGGTTATAGAGAAGAGGAAGGTCCAACCCTAGAAAGGGTAGATGACACAGAAAGTCTATAGGAGAAGCAAGAAGAAAACCGCAGAAGGCCCCTCTCTATATGTGGGACAGAAAGGCGGACACCTAAGTGTACAGGTGAGGGTTAGGCAGGAGGGCAGATCACAGGACATCTTTGTGAAAACAGGCTCAGGGGTTGAACATGAGAACACTGTGAAAAGTAGTTAAGGAATGTCATCAGGTTCCTCTGACACACAGATACAGAAATGCAGAAGGACAAAGAAGGATCACAAAAACCAGCCCCAGGACACTTCCCTATCAGGCTCACCCCCTAAGTCTGCTGATTCTCAGGCTGGCCCCAGGAACATCCCCATCTGCTTCTTGCAGGGAGGGACTGGGCTCGAGGGGTCTTCAGCTGGGGGAACAGGCCAGGGTGCTCTGCAGTAATTTAAGTCCACATTCAACATCAAGGACTGGCTGTCCCTTCCTGTCTCAGGAAAGGCAAACCCTAGCTGCGTACACAATTTATTATGAAAACTGAGTCATATTAAAAAAAAAAAAAAAAAAAACCACGAGAGCAGAAAACGCCATGCACACAGCAAGCCTAAAATAGCCCTGTTTGCTGTGGTTGCAATCGAAGTGCTTGGGAGGGAAACATAAGGTCTGGGATACCCTAAATTGTGCAAATAGTTTGGGTCAAACTGTTGGAAACCAATGACTCAACTCAGAAGCGGAATTCCTCTACTTCAAAACCACAGCTCTCCCTCCAACAGTAAAGAAGTGTGGCCAGAACCCGTGAGAGAGAACATACGAGTGTCGGGGATGGGACTCTTATGTCTCTGAAATGTAAAGAACCCCTGGTTCTGGCAACTAAGGCCTAGGATCTCCGTTTATTGACCAGGCATCATCTTTCTTGCTGTCACATCCTATTTCCTGGAATTTCAGGACACTGTCTCTTGGGAACACTGCTTTTGATCAAACAGCCACATAAACATACTTATAATTTTGAAAAGAACAAGCATGACAAACTAGAAGAGTAACAAATAAAAATAAAGAAAAGAAAAAAGCAACAACCCATAGCCAGCTGGTCTGAAAGCTTTCTAAGTAATCCCACAGCATTCCTTCCCAAGGCCCCAGGCCAGGAAATGCCACTTCACTCAGTCCATGTCTACCCCCTCCCCATTTCTTTTTATTTGGCTTCCCCCAGGGGCAGGAGGCCCACCTAGCCACCGCCTACTCACCCTCCAGAAAGGATTTGCAAAACCGGCCTCCTCTCCCTCCTCTTACCTCCTAAGAGCAGCAGTCTCTCGCCCAGACACGCAGACACGCAGACTCAGATGCACACACAAGCCCACACTCCACTGTCACCAGAGAACCCTTTGTCACTCCCGTCAGCCGCCTATGCGCTGAGGTGCTAGCACAATTGTATCTATGATACTCGTGTCCCTTCCTCTGGGACAAACTGGAAACCTAGGAAGCATCTCTGAGTTGAACAAAACGCACAGCCAGTTTTACACGTAAATGCAGAGCCTTGAGAATCCTGGGCCTTGGGGCATCTCTGCAGAGCCCTGGTTGCCATGGTTACAGGGGGCTTTGTGGGAGGGTGGGTAAAGGAACAAACAAGGGGTCTCCTTCCTTACCCCCCACCCCCCCACCCCCCGTTGTTTAACTTTGTTATTAAGCCCCTGAGAGTGGCTTTTCTTGATTGTCCATTTAAGAGAACACCCTGAGGCCAGTCTCCACTCACCTTCCACCCAAGCCCATAGAAATCAAGGAAACACTAAGGATCGGGCATTTCTGTTTTCAGCGTCTACTTCCCAATTCCGGGGGGCATTCCAAACCCTTATTTTCAATATGGGAAATGTGACTGGCTGGCCTGGCGGTCCCACAGGGCCCTGCACGCAGAAGGCCCTTGCTGGGTGGAAACCCCACAGCCGCCATCTGGACATTCTGGACACCGTGAAGGGGGCCTGCGCCTGCTGCCGCTCAGGGTCCAGTGCTGTCCCCGAATGCGACTGCTGGGTCCAGGGAAGGAAAGGGATCCTTTTCCAACCCACGCATTCCTGATGCCAGAAGAACTGGGCTTGGCCTGTGAAACGGGTCCGTGACCAGCTGCCTAATCATGGCCCCCACTTTCTCATCTGTAAATGTGCCACTTGGAATTTTGGGGTCCCTCAAGGAAAATGTCCCTTGATCCAAGTCTCAACGATCTGCTTAGTGAAGCACTGTCTTCAATGGGCAGCGAGGGTACACGGATATGTACTCCGGGGCCTAGAGTAGGTCCCTCGTGAAACCCGGTAGAGAACAGGACTTCTCAATCTTGTTTTCATTATGGCTGCCTCCCCCACTACTCTCCCACCCCCACCAAGGAGAGAAATAAAATTATATTTAAATTTAATTAATTTAAATATAATTTAATTCCTGCCTAACAAGAGACATGAAATACTAAGAAATAAGATTTCGTTGGGTAGGGTTGAGCTGTGGAGGGCCACACCATTGTAACGCCTATGCTATTTTTTCACCTCTGTCCACCCCCCAAAGAACCGATTTTCACTCCCTTGGGTCCCCACTGAGAATCCACTGTGTGGGTCCAGTGAGTTTTCCAAATCACC